ACACTGCACATCACCAAAAGAACACCATACCCACAGTGAAGCATGGTGGTGGCAGCATCATGCTTTGGGGCTGTTTTTCTTCAGCTGGAACTGGGGCCTTAGTCAAAGTAGAGGGATGAACAATTCCAAATACCAGTCAATATTGGCACAAAACCTTCAGGCTTCTGTTATAAAGCCGAACATGAAGAGGAACGTCAGCATGACTACGACCCAAAGCATACATCCAAATCAACAAAGGAATGGCTTCACCAGAAGAAGATTCAAATTTTAGAATGGCCCAGCCAGAGCCCAGACCTGAATCTGATAGAATATCTGTAGGGTGTTCTGAAGAGCGCTGTGCACAGGAGATGCCCCCCCCCCCAATCTGACAGATTTGGAGTGTTTTTCCAAGGAAGAGTGGGCAAATATTGCCAAGTCAAGGTGTGCCATGCTGATAGACTCATACCCAAAAAGACTGAGTGCTGGAATCAAATCAAATGGTGCTTCAACAAAGTATTAGTCTAAGGGTGTGCACACTTACGCAACCATATTATTTTAGTTTTTTTTATTTTTACTTCCCTCCATCTAAAAGTTTTCAGTTTGTTGTTCAAGAGTTGTACAGTTTATAGGTTACATTAAAGGTGGAAAACGTTTTGAAATGATTTATCTTTGTCTAATTTTTTTACATCACAGAAACCTGACCTTTTAACAGGGGTGTGTAGATTTTTTATATCCACTGTAGTAGTGACAGCATTTGCTGTGTTGCACTTAGCCTATGCAGAGAGCAGAGCTGTGGGAGGGGCCCAGCAGTCCAACCACTACAGGCTGCCTGCAAAAAAACTAGAGGATGGGGTGGAGATAAGACCAGTATCCCTGCACAAAAAGAAAGAGCAGCAGTGATCGGTCTTCATTACAGGACACTTCTGCACAGAGATAGAGTTTCACACTGGATTACTGCACAGATCTGGAAGAAATGCTCAAAGCACATCAAACATTCTAGTAAGAATACACATGCCTCTTATATTTACAGAATATTTTCTTTACTGGAGTTCAGCTTTATAGCTAGACTTGCGCTAAATACACAGATAAAACACATGAGTTTACCTGCAAAATCTGCATCCTCCATGGCACACATGCTGACCCCTATGCTACTGCTGTGTATAGTAGCAATGTAGTGGCAGGTGGGAGGGACCACTGAAGCTGGGAAGGTGGGATGGGGGGTTTGACACTAGGAATGAGACACTCCCATAAATGTGCTGGTTGTAATGAGGCCAATGAGGCCAAAGATGTGAAGTGCGATGCTTAGAGAAATGGAAGCTGGAATGGTGAGTAACAACCCCTTTTTTTTTTTTTTTTTTTTGCAACATATGCAATTTCTTTAAAACTAAATTCCAGAAAACAGTGGGGTCCAGGGATATAAAAAGCGCTTTTTTACCCAGTTCTCCACTCCCCCAGCAGATAGATGGTGCACCCCTCTGTTTTAGTAGTGGATTATCCCCCTCCTCGTCCTCATGTCCAATGCAGGGCTATGGGCTCTGCATTAGTCTTGATTACATCAAGGAATGTTAGACTGCAGGAATGTAGGGGAGAAGAGGCTGCAGGGATCAGTCTAGCAGCACGAAGGAGCCTGTAGGAGTAGAAGATGCAGTAAGTAAAACTGCTTTTGACATAAACAAATAGTTAATCCTTGTAGTACAGACAGAGCCCCACTGCCAAGGAGGACTTTTTAGTTTTCTGGAATTTAGCTCTAACTCAACAGAAGACTCACTTTAACAAGGAATCCTGGAGGGAGAGAGTCTGCAGTTCTATGGTGTGAAACAGATGTTGCGGGCATGCCTCTAGGTATACTTTTTCCCTACTCAGCCCTTAGGGGACGTGAGAAATCACATCTAGAGTGGTGCCATCATCCAGGAAATTGGAAAGGGCAGAGCTGTTAAAGATTCCAGCACAACTCTCAGTGAATGGCAGGAACAAGGAAAACATGTAGAATAAATTTGCAAACCTTGGTTAACGTGTATGTATTTTAGGCTTTTAAATGTGTGTGTGTATATACTGAAACTGAAACCAAAATGGACAGTTTTTGAAAATGTATATATTTTTCAAATGCAATTTTTTTTTTAAATAAATACACTTTAATGAATAAAAAAAAACCACATTATATAGCATTTTTTTTTGTAAAATATATACGATAATGTTATAGACATTTGATAACAAATAAACTGTATTCTGGTTATTGTATAGGGATTAATTCCTATATGTTATTTTTCCAGCTTTAATTGCCAGCTGTCTGGAAAAAGTGACAGTTGCAGGGGTTGGGACAAACTAGTAGACTGAGAGAGGTGCTTCCAAAGGTCATCTTTTATTCATATTTACCTGTCTTCTCTGGCATGTAAACTGAGCTGCACATGCACAGCTCAGCTTGCATGGATGGCATGGTCACTTTGTGCTGGGATTGTAGTGATATCACGTACTGGACACACTAAAAGCTGTGACTGTAACTGATTGTTCAAGAAACATAGGTACGCCATAACGGTTTTGTAGCACAGATACACATTGCAGCTGCAAATCCCAAGGAATGCACCTCCATAGCCTTAACTTAGTAATATTGCAAAGAGCCTGTTATCTCAACCTAGGGACAGCAGACACCAGTAGGCGTTTACCAGAGCCATAAATATCTAAATGAAGTTTTGCAAGGATATCTATTAATTTCTACTAACCATAAAATCTACTGATCATCACTCCCCTCTGACCCATCGTAAAATTGTCACAAAATCCTTTAGTTCTGTCACCCATAGTTTGTAGGGCAATAAACCCATTAGGGATACAATGCGTGCAGTAAAATGTATTAATCAAGGTTAATAGGGATAGTAAAGCAGTCAGGCTTGTGGTGACCTCTCGTTTCCAGAATGCAACCTGTACATATTGGAATATATTAATATTAGTATAAAACTGTATGTAAGGGAGGGCCATGATACGGTCATAAACACAGTGACACCCCTATGGCCTCAACCGCTTAATTGGTCAGCTGGTCTCTGACAACACATCCTTGATATCAGAGAACAAGGAGACTGCTCCTGAAGTTGTCAGCTCTCGTTTAACATCAAACCAAGGAACACCTAACTAGACTTGAGAGCGATGCTGTATCATTTTTTCTCATCTACTGGACTGTGCTGAAACCTGGACAGTAGTGTCACCCTCAACTCCTTTTTATTTCTCTTTTGCATTGACGTCTCTTTGTTTCTTTGTAATATCTTTTTTTTTGTTTGCACCATTTTTACCTTTTCATTTTTAACCACTTTCCCTCCTGAGGATTTACCCCCCTTCCTGACCAGGCCATTTTTTGCGTTACGGCGCTGCGTTACTTTAACAGACAATTGCGCAGTCCTGCAACACTGCATCCAAATGAAATTTACGTCCTTTTTTTCCCACAAATTGAGCTTTCTTTTGGTGGTATTTAATCACCTGTGCGTTTTTTTTGACAATTTTGAGAATTTTTTTTTTAACTTTTTGCTAATAAACATGCCCAGTAAAAATATTTAAAAAATCAAATTTCATCATAAATTTAGGCCAAAATGTATTCTGCTACATGTCTTTGCTAAAACAAATACAAATACGTGTAAATTAATTGGTTTATGTGAAAGTTATGGTGTTTACAAATGGCAGTATATATACTGGAATTTTTAAAACTTTTTTTACTAGTAATGGTGGCGATCAGCGACTTATAGCAGGACTGGGGGGAACTGACTTGGTGTCACTGACATCCCCAGTGACACTAATACAGTATTCAGTGCTAAAAAAGAGCACTGACACTGTACTAATGACACTGGGCAGGAAGGGGTTAACATGAGGGGCGATCAAAGGGTTAACTGTGTGCGGTGTGCTGTTTTACTTGTGTCTGTGTGCTTCACTGTACAGCCATCCAAAGCAGTGTGCATGGGATGACAGGGGGGAGAACTGTTTTGTTTACAAACAGTTCTCCTTCCAGTCAGAGACGCTAGGCAATCACCGGGCGGCGGTGAGTAATCACCGGCCGGGACAGGGATTGACAGCCGTAGCCGTGAATGGCATATGGTATATATCAATCCTGATGTACTGATGACTCATTTCTTAAGGCCGGAAGATGCCAGGACAGTACAAATACCCCCCAAATGACTGTCTGGAAAGTAGACAGTTTGAGGATTTTAGTAAAAGGCATGGTAAATTTTTTTAAGTTGTCATTTTTTGGAAAATGACGAAATTATAAAAAAAAGTTCACACTGTCTCCAGTGCAGTACAGTGTCATCATATAACACTGTATCATATTTTTTTTTTATATATATACGGTGACAAGAGCAATACAGTGTTGCTCTGCTCAGGATTTTTTTTTTTTTTGCACAATATGATCACTTATAACAGTGATACTTACTGTTAGAAATTATTTTTTTTTTCTGAATTAAATCTATTCATTCAGTGTGTACTATTGTGATTCGCTGTGATTGGCCACAGCTAATCACATGGTACAGATGGGCTGTAATTGGCTCTGTCTGTACCATGTGATTACTGTGACCAATCACATAGTTACATAGTTAGTCTGGCTGAAAAAAGACAAAAGTCCATCCAGTTCAACCAAAAAAAAAAAAAAAGGTTATGATCCTATACCCACTAGTGATCCAGAGGAAGGCAAAAAAAAAAAACAGCAAAGCATGATCCAATTTGCTCCTGAAGGGAAAAAAAAATTCCTTCCTGATTCCCCGAGAGGCAATTGGATATTCCCTGGATCAACTTTACCCATAAATGTTAGTATCCCGTTATATTCTGTGTATCTAGGGACGAATCCAGGCCTTTTTTAAAGCAATTCACTGAGCTGGCCAGAACCAACTCTTGAGGGAGTATATTCCACATTTTCACAGGTCTTACTGTGAAGAAATCTTTCCATATTTAGAGATTAAATTTCTCTTCTTCTAGACGTAACTCTACACCGAGTTCACTATATGAACCACTGATGTATTTATACATGTTGATCATATCCCCCCTTAATTTCCTCTTCTCAAGAGAGAATAAATTCAGTTCCTCTAATCTTTCCTCATAGCTGAGCTCCTCTGTCAAGGTCCTACATTTCCTCAGGGCTTGTGCTGCTCCATGTGCTGGCATCCATCTTAGGTGTCTGCAAAGCATTGTGGGATCTTTATGCTTTCAGCCCAGGAGGTGGCAGCTTATCACATATAAGTCTGCTGTTTGTAGATGTCCATTGCATTTGTGTCCTGTCTGTTGCACAGGAGAAAGCTCCTGTTTAGTTTCTCATTGCTCTCCTGGATACCGACTCAGCTTTGGCAAGACTCCTTCCTGGCTTCTGACCCCGGCTCTGGCGACCATCCTTCCTGGCTTCTGACTCCGGCTCTGGCGACCATCCCTGGCTCCGGCTCTGGCGACCATCCTTCCTGGCTACTGTTCTACCAAGTCATCCGCTGTTGCTGTTGGACTTGTATAGACTCTGTCTTGTTTTTGTATAATAAACCTACCTTTAATTGCACCTCCTTGTGTGTCTGGCTCCTCGCTCCCTGACACTACACAAATGCCATGAATCCTGACGGTGCAGGTACGCCCTTGCTCCCTATGTTGGTTGCCAGACTTGATCAGCAGGATTTCTTGTTGGTTCAGTTCGCTCAGGCGTTGCAGACCCTACTTGCACGCACAGCGCACCTTACTCCTGGTGCTATTAGGCCGGTTGTCACTCTTGTGGTCGCTCCCGCTGTTGCTCCGGTTGTTGCGCCTACCTCTGCATCTGCTGCCGCACCTGCGATGCCCAGAGGTATGACTGGTTCAGCCCCCCTTCCACAGCGCTTTGGGGGTGAGCCGTGTCAGTGTCGGGGTTTCCTTAACCAAGTGGGCATATATTTTGAATTGATACCCCACGCTTTTCCTACTGAGAGGTCAAAGGTGGGCTTCCTAATCTCACTGCTCTCGGACAAGGCCTTGGCCTGGGCAAATCCCTTATGGGAGAACGATAACCCTGTGATTCACGAGTTTGCTGGTTTTGTTGCCTCCTTCCGTACAGTATTTGATGTGCCTGCTCGCTCCGCCTCTGCTGCTAAGCTGCTCATGTCCATGCATCAGGGTTCATGAACCGTTGCCGAGTACGCCATAGAATTTCGTACCCTGGTGGCAGAGGTGGGTTGGAACAATGAGGCTCTGGTGGCTGCTTTCTCTCATGGTCTCTCAGTTGCGTTGAAGGATGAGATTGCAGCCAAAGAACTGCCTGTGGAGCTCGAAGCACTCATTTCCTTCCTAATCCTGATTGACACCAGGCTCAGGGAGAGGCCTTCACTTAAGGAGCATCTGCGGAGGCCTCCTAACCGACTGGCGCCTACGTTTTCTGTCCCACCCATTCCTCCCTCTCCTCCCACGCCTCCTGAGGATGGCTTGTCTGGCGGTCAGCCCATGCAGCTGGGGTTTGCTCTCCTTTCCGAGGGGGAGCGGGTCTCTCGGCGTCGGGAGGGTCGCTGCCTGTACTGTGGTCTCGGTGGGCATTTTCGGCAGTCCTGTCCGGCCCTTCCGGGAAACCCTCGCACCTGAGATCCTGTCGGGGGCAGATCTTGGGTGGAGTTTCCTCGTCCCTGGTTTCCCGCAAAGATAAACCGCTAATCACCGTTGTCCTCTCTTGGGAGGAAGGCTCGGTGACGGTCCAGGCGTTGGTAGACTCTGGTGCTGGCGGGTTGTTTATAGACAGTTTGTTTGCTGCCCAGTACTCCATTCCTCTGCAGGCTCGAGTTACTCCATTGGTCATCGAGGCGATAGATGGCTGGCCCCTGCAACCGCCGCAGGTTACCCACGAGACCCTGCCGGTTGAAGTAGCTATTGGGGCTGTTCACAGGGTGTTGGCCTGTTTCCTGGTAATTTCTTGCCTGTACTACTCTGTGGTTTTGGGATATCCCTGGCTTCAGAAGCACAATCTGACCTTTGATTGGCGGTCGGCCGAGATTCTCTCGTGGTCTCCACAGTGTGGGTCCGGTTGCATCCGTGGACCTGTTAATGTGTTGTGTGCCTTCTCGGACTCTGTGTTGCCTACTGACTATGGGGAGTACCTGGACGTGTTTTACAAGGTGTGCGCCGGTGCTCTACCTCCTCATCGTCCATACGATTGTGCCATAACCTTACAACCCGGTGCCACTCCTCCGCGTGGCAGGGTGTATCCTCTTTCGGTTGCGGAGAATCAGGCCATGGAGGAGTTTGTTCTGGATGCGATTTCCCGGGGGCACATTTGCAAGTCTACTTCTCCAGCAGGAGCTGGCTTTCTCTTCGTGAAAAAGAAGGGCGGTGAATTGAGGCCTTGCATTGATTTTAGGGGTCTCAATCGAATCACGATTAAGAATGCTTACCCAATTCCGTTGATTACCGAGTTGTTCGACCGCCTCAAGGGAGCAACGGTCTTTACTAAACTCGACCTTAGGGCTGCGTACAACCTTGTACGGATCAAGGAGGGCGACGAGTGGAAGACAGTGTTCAACACCAGAACCGGCCATTATGAATCCCTGGTTATGCCCTTTGGGTTGTGTAACGCACCCGCGGTCTTTCAGGAGTTCATTAACTACCTGCCGACCGCAGATAGCCGAATGACGGCTGCACTGCGGCCGGCCAGTTCTGGGTGGACGTCATATGACGTCCTCCCAGAACGCGCACTCCTGCGTACCCCAGGGGGCGCGCACCCGGCGATCTCCATGATCGCTGTGTCCTACGGACACAGCTGATCACGTGATGTGGTAAAAGGCCAATCACAGCGCCCTTTTACCACGTGATCAGCGGTGTCCAATGACACGCTGATCAGAGAAAAATGCAAGTGCCGGTTCTCGGCTGCACTTTCCTCACGCTGTCAGATAGTGAGGAAAGTACTGCCGAGAACCTGCAGTTGTCAGAGCGGGGATCGGCACCGATCATCAGGGCACTGATGATCAGTGCCCTGATGATCGGTGCCCAGCAGTGCCACCCGCAAGCTCCGCCAACCTGTGCCCAGCAGTGCACCCATTAGCTCCGCCCACCTGTGCCCAGCAGATCACCCACCTGTGCCCAGCAGTGCACCCACCTGTGCCCAGCAGTGCACCCACCTGTGCCACTCTGCAGTGTCACACACCTGTGCCCAGAAGTGCCACCCACCTGTGCCCAGCAGTGCCACCCACCTGTGCCCACCCACCTGTGCCCACCTTTGCCCACCCACCTGTGCCCACCCACCAGTGCCACCCCACCAGTGCTGCCAGTCAGTGCCACCAGTCAGTGCCCAGGGGTTGTGCCAGTCAGTGCCGCCAGTCAGTGCCCAGCAGTGATGCCAGTCAGTGCCGTCTATCAGTACCCATCATCAGTGTCACCTATCAGTGCCGCCTATCAGTGCTGCATATTCGTGCCGCCTATCTGTGACACCTCATTTAGTGCTGTCTATCAGTGCCGCCTATCCGTGCCACCTCATTAGTACTGCCTATCAGTGCCCTTTAGTGCTGCCTATCAGTGCCCATCAGTGCCGCCTATCAGTGCCCATCAGTGCTGCCTCATCAACGCACATCAGTGAAGGAGAAAAATTACCTCTTTGAAAAATTTTTATAATAGAAACAAAGAAACTTTTTTTTTTTTTTCAAATTTTTTGCTTTTTTGTATTTATAGCGCAAAAAGTAAAGCACCCAGTGGCGATTAAATACCACCAAAAGAAAGCTCTATTTGTGAGAAAAAAAATGATCAAAATTTCATATGGGTACAATGTTGCATGATCACGCAATTGTCAATCAAAGTGCGGCAGTGCTGAAAGCTGAAAATTGGCCTGGTAAGGAAGGGGGGTATAAGTGCCTGGTAGGCAAGTGGTTAATGATGTCTTTCGTGACTTATTGCAGCAGTGCGTGGTGGTTTACTTGGACGACATCCTGGTTTACTCTGTGTCTATTGAGTCTCATAACCAGGATGTTAAGCGGGTGCTGCAACGGTTACGTGAGAACGAGCTTTTCTGTAAGCTCGAGAAGTGTGAATTTCACCGATCCCAGGTTGCCTTTTTGGGCTACATCATTTCCGCTGTGGGATTTTCCATGGACCCTCAGAAGGTTTCAGCGCTTCTGCAGTGCCCTCGTCCCAGTGGTCTTCGGTCCATTCAGCGCTTTTTGGGATTTGCCAACTATTATCGGAAGTTTATCAGGAACTTCTCCACGCTGGCCAAGCCTCTCTCAGATCTGACCAAGAAGGGCAGTAATCCTAACGAGTGGTCATCCGAGGCCATCTTAGCTTTCAAAGCTCTGAAATCCGCCTTTGCTTCGGCTCCGATACTGTCTCATCCCAATCCTGGGTTGCCTTTTGTCCTCGAGTTTGATGCATCTGAGATGGGAGTAGGCCCCCTCCTGTCTCAGCGTCGGTCGCCCAATGGACCCCAACTTCCCTGTGGGTTCTACTACAGGAAGCTTTCCTTTGCAGAATGCAACTATCAGATTGGAGACAGGGAGTTGTTGGCCATTATTCAGGCTCTCAAGGAATGGAGGCACCTGCTCGAAGGTTCTGCGGTTCCGGTCCTCATTCTCACTGACCACAAGAACAGTACAGTATCTCTCGGAAGCTAAGAGGTTGACTTCCCGTCAGGCCAGATGGGCTCTGTTCTTGTCGCGTTTTAACTATGTGGTCTCCTATTTGCCTGGCTCCAAGAATGTCAGGGCTGATGCCTTGTCGCGGCAATACTCTGAGCTGTCCAGGGAGGACTCTGAGCCGACCTCGGTCATACCTCCGGATCAGATCCTGGCTGCTATTCGTACCAGTCTGACTTCTCCCCTTGGGGAGCAGATTTTGGTGGCTCAAACTGATGCTCCCTCCGAGAGACCGGTTGGTAGATGTTTCGTACCTGAGGGATTGCGCACCCGCTTGCTGCGTACCTACCATAATTCCAAGACCTCCGGTCATCCAGGGAGGAACCAGTTGTCCTGGGTCGTTTCTCGTTTATTCTGGTGGCCATCTCTCCGTTCCGACATCGCCTCATACGTAGTGGCATGTTCTGTCTGTGCCCAGAATAAATCTCCTCTGCATCTTCCATTGGGCCTTCTGCAACCCATTCCCAATGGGGAGCGTCCCTGGTCACACCTGGGCATGGATTTTATTGTAGACCTCCCTGCGTCTCGAGGCCATACGGTCATTCTTATGGTCATTGATTGTTTCTCCAAGATGTGCCATTGTGTTCCGTTCAAGAAATTGCCGACTCTGCAAGAACTGGCTACGGTTTTCGCCAGGGAGATCTTTCGTTTGCATGGGTTACCTAAGGTGATTGTCCCGGACCGTGGGAGCCAGTTTGTGTCCAGGTTCTGGCACGCCTTCTGCTCCCAGTTGAGTATCAAGCTCTCCTTCTCTTCGGCCTACCACCCGCAGACCAATGGGGCTACGGAGCGTTCCAACCAGCCCTGAAACAATTCCTTCGCTGCAATATCGCAGACCATCAAGACAATTGGTCGTCGATCTCCTGCCATGGGCAGAGTTTGCGAGGAACTCGGCTGTCAACTCCTTCTCCGGGATGTCTCCCTTCATGGCCAACTATGGGTTCCAACCCGCTGTATTGCCTGAGGTGTTCTCGCCACAGGACATTCCGGCTGTGGATAACCATCTTGCTGCCCTGCGTTCCTCATGGGAACAGATCCAGAGGTCCTTGAAGGACTCAGCTCAGCGCCAGAAGCTCCAGGCTGATCGTAGACGGTTGCCCGCTCCTTCATACCAGGTCGGAGATCGGGTGTGGTTGTCCACTCGTAACCTCAATCTTTGGGTGCCCGCACCGAAACTGGCTCCCCGTTTTGTTGGTCCTTTCCACATCCTCCGCAGGGTGAACCCGGTTGCCTATGCCCTTGCTCTTCCTCCTGGGATGCGTATCTCCAATGTCTTCCATGTATCTCTGTTGAAGCCTCTGGTCTGTAATCGCTTTACTGCCTCTCCGCCTCAGCCTCGTCCTATCCGGGTTGACGGTCATGAGGAGTATGAGGTGAGCCGCATCCTGGACTCCCGGTTGGTCCGTGGTCGGGTGCAGTTTCTGGTCCATTGGAGTGGTTATGGTCCCGAGGAGCGTTCCTGGGTTCCTTCCGCGGATGTTCATGCTCCTGCCCTCCTCCGCGCTTTTCACGCCCGCTTTCCCCAGAAGCCTTATATTGAGCCGTGGAGGGGGAGGGGTCCTTGAGGAGGAGGTACTGTCAAGGTCCTACTTTTCATCAGGGCTTGTGCTGCTCCATGTGCTGGCATCCATCTTAGGTGTCTGCAAAGCATTGTGGGATCCTTTATGCTTTCAGCCCTCTGTGGCTCCTCCCCCAGGAGGTGGCGGCTTATCACATATAAGTCTGCTGTTTGTAGCTGTCCATTGCATTCTTGTCCTGTCTGTTGCACAGCAGCAAGCTCCTGTTTAGTTTCTCATTGCTCTCCTGGATACCGACTCGGCTTTGGCAAGACTCCTTCCTGGCTTCTGACCCCGGCTCTGGCGACCATCCTTCCTTGCTTCTGACCCTGGCTCTGGCGACCATCCTTCTTGGCTTCTGACCCCGGCTCTGGCCATCATCCTTCCTGGCTTCTGACCCTGGCTCTGGCGACCATCCTTCCTGGCTACTGTTCTACCAAGTCATCCGCTGTTACTGTTGCACTTGTATAGACTCTGTCTTGTTTTTGTATGATAAACCTACCTTTAATTGCACCTCCTTGTGTTTCTGGCTCCTCGCTCCCTGACATCCTCCATGCCTCGTATCAGTTTGGTTGCCCTTCTCTGTACTTTCTCCAGTTCCCCAATGTTCTTATTGTGAATTGGTGCCCAAAATTGAACTGCATATTCCAGATGAGGTATTACAAATTATTTGTACCGGGGTAATATGATATCTCTCTCTGGAGTCTATACCTCTTTTAATACAAGGATTTTGCTCACATTGGAAACCTCAGCTTGGCATTGCATGCCATTATTAAGCTTGTGATTTACCAGAACTTCCAGATCCTTCTCCACTATTGACTCCCCCAGTTGTACCCCTCCTAGTATGTATGATGCATGCATATTCTTAGCCCCCAAGTGCATCACCTTACATTTATCAACATTAAACCTCATTTGCCACATAGTTGCCCAATTACACAGTGCATTGAGGTTGGCTTGTAAGTTGGAGACATCCTGTAAGGATGTTATTGCACTGTACAACTTGGTGTCATCTGCAAAGACTGAAATGGGATTTTTAATCCCAGACCCTATATTGTTTATAAGTATAATAAAAAGTAAGGGTCCCAACACTGAACCCTGGGGTACACCACTGACAACCCTAGACCATTCAGAGTATGAATCATTAACCACTACTCTCTAAATACGATCTTTTAGCCAGTTTTCTATCCATTTACATACAGATTTTTCCAAGCAGGTAGACTTTACCTTACACATTAGCCGTGTGTGGGGAACTGTGTCAAACTCTTTTGTAAAATCCAAGTATACCATGTCCACCGCCACCCCTCTGTCCAAGGTTCACAGAGATCAATACAATAGTACACAATGAATGGCATGAATGAACGCCGTCCATTGTGCTGGTAGACTGATCTGTTATCTGTTGTTTTCAGTGAACACAGCGGGTGACAGATTGTACCGCAGCGTGGCCCATGGACGCCCTATGACATGTAGCCAGAACTAGAGCGGTCCTGCCCGGCTGTCTTTTGACTATAGACTGAGTGGGGACTGGTTAAGCATAATTAGGTTTTGACCGGACTTCTACTATAATTCTCTTGTTTGCCTCACTTAACTATAAGATTTATTGTGAAGATGTGTAGGCATGCACAGATAAACACAATAAAAGGAAACCTTGAAATGTTCCGCACAATGCTAATAACACCCTGTTACAGGGGTGACTCAGACAAACTAAAACTGATGTTTTAGTGCTACTGACAGACTGCATCATAGACGGCATATTTGCTTTTGGCCAGAGTTATTATTTATTATAATTATACAGTATATAGCGCCAACAGTTTGCTCAGCGCTGTACATTATAATGGGAGACAGTACACGAGACAGCACAGTAACAATACAATACTGGGGGTTCGAGGGCCCTGCTCCTTGGAGCTTACAATCTAGGAGGGAGGGGATAGTGGTACAGGAGGAAATAGCTGTGGGGGATGGAGTCGTAGGAAGAGTGGAGGAGATCGGCAATTAGGTGAGGGCGGGGTAGGCTTCCCTGAAGAGATGGGTTTTCAGGGTGCGCCTAAAGGTGAGGAGGGTAGGTGACAGTCTGATGGATTGGGGTAGTGAGTTCCAGAGGATGGGGGAAGCCCTGGAGAAGTCCTGGAGATGGGCATGGGAGGAGGAGACCAGGGAACTAGAGAGTAGGAGGTCTTGTGAGGAGCGGAGAGTGCATTTTGGGTGGTAGATAGATATCAGGTCAGTGATGTAGTTTGGGGCAGTGTTATGAACAGCTTTGTATGTCAATGTTAGTATTTTGAATTTCATGCATTGGGCAATCGGAAGCCAGTGGAGGGATTGGCAGAGGGGGGTGGCGGATACGGGAGCAGTTAGTAAGATGGATGAGTCTGTCCGCAGAATTCAGGATAGACTGAAGCGGGGATAGCCTGTATTGAGGTAGGCCAGTGAGGAGGGAGTTACAGTAGTCAAGTCGTGATATAATAAGGGAGTGAATGAGTTGCTTTGTAGTTTCTGGAGTTAGGAACGGATGTATGTAGGTGAAGTCTACATGAATTTGTCAGCGATTGGATCTTGGGCTGGAAAGACAGATTGGAGTCTAGAATGACACCTAGTACTCTGGTTTGCGGGGTGGGGCTGATGGTTGCGTTGTTGGTCGTGATGGCAAGGTCGGGGGGGGGGGGGGGTTCCGGGCTGGGGGGAAAACTAGGAGCTCGGTTTTGGAAAGGTTTAATTTGAGGAAGTGGAGTGACATCCAGTCTGATATGTCGTTCAGAAGGCTAGTGATTCGGGCAGAGACTGAAGGGGTGAGGTGAGGGGTAGAGAGATAATTTGAGTGTCATCAGCATAGAGGTGGTAGTTGAAGCCATGGCAGTGTATCAGTTGGCCAAGGGAGGAGGTGTAGATGGAGAAGAGAAGGGCCAGAGTTCCACTTTATCTCTTCTACAGCAAAGTCTTATTAGAAATCCATATAACTGAACTATAAACTGGAGAAGCCATGGGAAAAATGGACGTTCTCCCAGTATCAGTGCATGCTGGGATTTTTAGTGCCTCAGTCCCTGATGGTCACCAGATGTTCTATGGTTTACTGGTTGACAATATCATGCAAGGGTGTCCATTTTGTTTGAAAAAAATGAGATGCATAGCTGACAAATTGGGTGTGTTCTTGATGTGATCTAAATTATGAATGTTACACACGCAATATAATAATTGATTTAAGCGAGAGCTCTAGTAAAGTGTATTTTCCATTTTAAGTCTTACGCGAGCCTTTCTGAGGCATCCGTTGAAAGCGAGGCCTTGCTCTCTGGAGACTGCTGTTTCCATAGCAACATCCAGACAGCTCATTCTGCCTCCTGACATTGGCTACAAGTAAATAGTCTAATGCAAAATATCCTTAGATACAGCCTACTTACTGCAATTGCTTTTTTAACCCACTTGGCGCTAATGTTTCCGGTTATGGCTGTGCTAATAATTGTCTTTGCTTTTTAACACTCTCTGCTTCTGGATAAATACTTTTATAATTCAATAAAATGCACTGCTTTATTATGCATGTATTCATTAGTACACCCCCCCACCTCCCAATCCCAAGCAAAAAAGTAGATAATATTGACATTGTTGTAAGATTCAGGCATAATATAGCTGATTGTAAAGCATTACATTATAGCCGTATTGAAAGGGGGCTTTGTCTGTAGATTTATAAAATCCACTCTTGCACCTCTTTGTAAAGAGAAGGTGACATTCCTGTAGAATACAGCTTTTTGCTATTTTGCTTTCACTTCTGCCTGTCAATATTTCCTTTTTCCTGCATGTTGGTAGGCGGGCAGCTGAGGCAGAACAGTGCAGCTTAGAGTTGTGTGTGCTTCTGATGCAGAAATATCTTCTTGATCCTGATGCTATCTCTCACATACCAGCAATAAATAGATATTGAAAGCCCGATGGATGCTTAAAGCAGAGCTGTACTCCCCTAGAGCACTTCCGCGAGCTCCCCAATGCAGCCAACATTTTTGCCTGGCCTTTCAACATTGGGATTGTTGCCCATTTCAATTAGCATTGCCAGGATGAAGTAACTCCAGCTTGGGTATTCATTTGTTCCGGCATGTGCAGCTCAGTGTACAGTCGTCAGTAAGAGGGCATACTGTGGGGAAAATAACTATTTGATCCCCTGCAGATTTTGCAAGTTTGGCCACTTACAAAAAAAAGAGTGGTCTGTAATTTTTATCATAGGTGTATTTTAAATTATAGATACAGAATATCAACCAAAAATCCAAAAAAAAACCCACATAATACAAATGTTATAAATTGAGTTGCAGTTCAGTGAGTAAAATAAGTATTTGAGCCCCTACCAACCAACAGTAATTCTGGCTCCTACAGACTGGCATGACATGTGCTCATGTGGTACACAGACTAGTCCTGTCAATTTAAGAAGGTGTTCCTAACGACAACTCCTTATGTGTATAAAATACACCTGTCCAGAGACTCTCTTATGTCCATTCAAACCTCACCGGCAAAAAGAGACCAAAAAGCTGTCAAAGGACATCAGGGACAAGATTGTAGACCTACACAAGGCTGGAATGGGCTACAAGACCATCAGCAAGAAGCTTGGTGAGAAGGCAACAACTGTTAGAGCAATTATTCACAATTGGAAGGAATACAAAATAACAATCAATCGCCCTCGGTCTATAGCTCCATGCATGATTTCGCCTCATGAGGTAAGGATGATCATGAGAAAAGTGAGGGATTAGCCCAGAACTACATGGGAGGAGCTTGTGATTGATCTCAAAACCGTTGGGACTACAGTCACCAAACAATTGGTAACACAATACACTGCCATGGATTGAAATCCTGCAGCACCCGCAAGGTCCCCCTCCTCAAAAAGGCCCGCCTGAAGTTTGTCAATGAATATCTAAATAATTCAGAGAAGTGCTCTGTTCAGATGAGACCAAAATTGAGCTCTTTGGCATGAATTTGGCTCGCCATGTTTGGAGGAAGAAAAATGCTGACACCATCCCTACAGTCAAGTATGGACATGAAAACATTATGCTTTGGGGCTGTTTCTCTGCTAAAGGTACAAGCCAACTTTGCCACATTGAGGAGCAAGTGGATGGAGCCATGTATTGTAAAATCGTGGATAAGAATCTTCTTCCCTCAGCAAGAACACTGAAGATGAGTCTAGGAAGGGTCTTCCAGCATGACAATGACCCAAAATATACCGCCAAGGCAACAAAGGAGTGGCTCAAGTAGAACCACGTTAAAGTCAAGGAGTGACCATGCCAGTCTCCAAA